GGGAATTGTGTTGGTTCAACAGTAAGAACTTCTGTTTTTTAGTTTTTCTGAGGAACAATTTGTTCAGCTAACATAATTTTGTTTATTTATGCAATGTTGATTATTGTGTTTTATTAATAAAGATAATCTTGTAACATCAACTGAAGCAACAGTGACTGCTATTGAGTCAATTAATTTTTTCTGTTTAGTGGATGATTTTTTTTTTCAAATTTGCAAAATAAGTAATTAGCTCTAGTTAGCATATCATCCTGTTTTTAATCATTTTACTTAAAAATGAACACAAACTTACTACTTCATTCATTCATTTATTTCCCTTTGGCTTAGTCCCTTTATTCATCAGGGTCACCACAGTTGAATGAACTGCAAACTTATTCAGCATATTTTTTCAGAAAGTAAAACTGTCACAGTGTCCTGTGAGGGTCTAGGGGTAGGGGTGGGCATAGGGCAATAGAAAATACAGTTTGTACAGTATTAAAACAATGGAAACCTGTGTAATGTCCCCACAATTCACAAAAACATTTCATGTGTTTAAATGTGTATATGTGTGAAACATCAATACACGAATGTGTACAACGACATGGGTATCACACAGGTATAACAAGGACATAGTGAATTCTGAGAACATTGCAGGTGTCCTCATTTATCTAAAGACGTATACATCTTTTTTTGAGGAAAGTAATGCTAAAACTGCAGTTTTGGGATAGGGGTTAGGGTTAGGTCTACTCTTGGGCAACAGAAAATACAGTTTGTAAAGTATAAACAAAAGGAACATTTGGAATGCAGCTTACACACAATTCACCAAAACAAATCCGTGCGTGCGTGATTGTGTTGGTTTGCTCAGCTCACGCTCTTATCTTCCGCTGTGTTTACCTGTTATGTTGCCATGGTAACCGGGCTATCGTAAACCTGCGGATCTGTCGCTGTGTTTGGGTGTGAGGAGAAGCTGCAGCTGAAGAGTGTAAAAGGCGAACGGACGCGCTTTTTTGACCTGCAGTGGCTGATTTTACTGAGCTCACAGAAACCGAGAAAACCTCCTCCGGCTGCAGTCCCTAGAAACAGGAAGGAAGCGCGATGATGTCAGTCTGAACTCTGACGCGCGGCCATGATGGACTGTTCCTTCGTTGCCATGGAGACGGCTTGAGTGTGAGCAAACATCCGGCGCAGCCTGATTCACACCTTCGCGCGCACACACATGCACGCACACACCAAATAGAGACTTGAAGTGTGACAGCAGATATTCGCCTGCACCCAGTCATTAAACAACCAGTAATAAATATATTTAATATATTTAAACGTATATTATAGAATGTGTTAAGGTGATATATTTTGCAGTAAGCAGGGGTGTCCAAACTTTTTCGTATGAAGGGCCAAAAACCAAACATTGATAGCCATGGGCTGAAGGTAAATGTACTAAACTATATTATGGGTAATTCCCTAATTTATTTCATAACATCTACTTTATATTATACTTTATAATGCTGTATAACATTTTGATCCATATACTGCATTAAAAACAAACAGTCACATTTATAACACAGTGGAGCTCAATGCTGAATACACTACAGTCAAGCAGAATCTGCCTTTGCCTTGATGTGCTCACCAAGTCTCTG